AACGTAGCTTTTATCTTCAACTATTTCTATTTTCATAACGAATAAGAGATTATTAAAGGTCTCACAGTCTAGCTTTACTCTGGTTTACTACAACATTCTTTCTCTGATTTCACCTATTTTTCATCTGAACGTTTAAGTATGATGATAGTAATTGAATCAAAAGAAATCTATAAATGATACAGAGAAAAACTGAAGTTGTTGGGAAGTACGAAAAATCACCAGAAATCAGCGGTAATCAATTTGCAATCACTAGTAATCGCTGGTAATCACTGGTAATCATTGGTAATCACTGGTAATCACTGGTAATCATTCGTAATCACTAGTAATCAAGTAATCAAGTAATCAGTTTGTTCCCCCTTGGGCCAAGTGAATCAACATTGAATGTCGATGAAGGTTACTTGTGGTGAATAATAGACTGAAAGCTGAAGAAGATCAAGAGTCGTTATGAATCTAGCGTAAAATATAATATAAATTGCTTTTCTTTTTTAGTCATAACGCCTGTCTTTAGTAAACCATAAAGTAAAGATATGCAAAACTTGGTGTGTTTACAACTTGTATTGTTTTCTATACTGTGGATATTAAAAGCAGAAAAAACAGTTGGACTCGATTGGCCAGTTACTTCAGCCAGTGTCAAATTGCTTGGTATTTTTCCTCAACAAACTGATGTGGAATCCAAAAATGATATGTGGGCCCTTCATTGCCTTTCAATGTTTCGAGCAGCTATTCTATTGTCTCAACAATACAATATAAAATTTCAAGAAGAATTTCTTGGTTATGATGAAATAATAACAGATCATGATGTTATGGCTACAGTTGATCATACATGTACAAAAGTATCAACATCGAACATAGTTGGATTCGTTGGTCCGGCATATTCGAGTGAAGCACGATATCTTGCATCATTTTCATATCGATTAGGAATAATAAGTGTCTCGTATTCGGCTACAAGTCCTGATTTATCAACCATCGACAATGGAGCATTTTATCGTGTAGTTCCATCAGATGAAAATACTGTATTAAGTATAACAATATTATTTCAACAATATAAATGGAAATCCTCTATCATTATATATCAAAATGACGAATTTGGTATTAACGGCATGCAATTATTGAAACAAAAATTTAGTGACATGAGTATTACAACTCGAGAGATAATTAAATTTGATATGAATGAACAAAATTTTCAAATTGATTTTCAACAGACATTAGTTAATAGTTTATCACGTATTGTTATTCTATGGGCAGATAGAAAGACAACAACAACAATATTAAAAAAAGCATTTGACGAAAATTTATTAGGTTCAGATTTTCTTTGGATATTAACAACAACAATATCATTGGATCATTTTAATCAAAGACAAAAGCAAGCACTTGTTGGAATTCTTACTATTGAACCTGTTAAAGGAAATTATGTTAATCAATCAATAAATACAACATTGTTAAATGAAGCATATAAAATTTGGAAATATTATCAACCTGATACATTTCCTGGTGATGAAAATGTCAATAGTTATGCATTATATACCTTTGATGCCACATGGGCATTTATTTTATCCTTCGAAAAACTTTGTTCAATGCAATTATCTTGTTTACAAATTCAGAATGCTTCAAACTGTTATGATCGTCGTTTTTTTAATTCAAAAAAATATTATGATATTATGAAAACAGTATCATTTTTAGGTATATCTGGTGAGGTGAAATTTTCTAATAGAACAGCAGATCGTGTTGGTCATCTATATTATATTATTAAAAATATTCAACCTTTAAATACACAAATAAATAGTATTGATTATTTACCTGTATTAAAATGGGATGTTGATTCAACTGAATGGTTATTTTATAAAAATCAATCTGATGATATTATATGGCCCAATTTATCAAAAACTGTTCCAAAAGATTACAAATCAATTAAAGGTAATGAAATATTTATCTCTAACAAAGTTCTCTACTTATAGCAACTAGAAAGTGGCGTCAAAGTTACTTCATTTC